CGTGTAGCCTCTCTTCTCCGGCTGTCAGCGTGCACCTGGACGTCAGGAGGCGGCGGAGTCACAAACACAAGAAAAGAAACAAAAGACAAACAAGCTAAGTTAAAAGATGATATTTAACATCGTATGTTATTTATCTAAACCTTAATTATTCCCATTTCGAACAGGTCTGAGAACAGTGTTCGCTCAAAGCCACTGCTGCCTCTCAGTGGAAACCGCTGGCCCCTGCACCCTGACCTGTCTCTGCCCAGCTAATAATGACAAAGCAAAAACTAAGAGTATCTAATCGTAGCTGAATGAATTTAAATTTAAATTTTAACTATTACTAAAGTGGCTCTCGGGCTTTCCAAAGTAAGAAAGGTCATTTGAAATGTAAAAATCACATTTGGTCAGTGTGGACAATAAAATAGAAGTAAAACCCCCTTTTTAAGCTTGAGGATTTTTTCTAGTTCGTTATTTCTTGCCTCCTCCTCTCAGACTGTAACCTCCATGAGGAAATGCAGAAAACACTGGCTGGTCCTGTGAGGAACAAGTGAAAGCACCTTAACTTTTCACCTGTTCTCTCATCAGAAATATGTTGTCACATTCAGTGAGATCCAATGCCATTCAAAGACAACTTCTTTGACCTAAACACCACAAGGGTTTGGAGTAAATACAACTCGGCCATACAGACAGTGTATTTTAATAAAGCCACGTGGACTCTGATCACAAAATACCAATTCACAATATCATCTTTAGTTTTCTTGGAAACAGGCCCACATTTATGTAAACTGTTGCCAAAACTGGAACAGTGGAGCATGCAGCTTTCTGCACTATTACACATTCTAACTTTATAATGGACGAGACTGATGTGGTGGCTTAGGATGTGAATGGATGTTTTCAGGATCAGTCTACAAAGCTCTATTGCTCCTGACATGAATCTACACTGCTGAAATCACGTGTGTATGTCAGAGGGAGATAAAGGAAGATTAAGGAGGAGGAGGAAGTAGTAGAGGCAGAAAACAGAACAAGCAAAGACAAACCACAAGTTGAGCAATTCCTGTGTTTCCCCATGAAAACCTAAAAACTGTGACCTGTGAAGCTGTGGGTGGCTCGGTGGAAACCATGTCACAATCAAACAAGTCATCAAATATCTCTTAGATACCAGGAATTCAGACCCAGAGGTGGTTCTACTCATTTTGGTTGCAGGAGTACATTAGGAGTTTATCGTTTCGGCCACTTGGGGGCAGCAAAACAAGCTGTAAACACAACTCATTATAGCAAACAATCACTTATTTAACTGTACAGCAGATGCAGCATCGAGGTCATTGTGTCCCCCGATGAGCCTCAGCCCAGTGACCCCTCTCTGTTCGCTCTGTGTTTGGTCTCCACCACCTCCTGGGGGAAACCTCTGGCTCTGGAGCTGCTAAATGCTCCACTGTGTTCACCAGCTGGTCTCTGACCTGCTCTGGCTGCTGGTTGCTGCTGAGCAGGTCGTGGACAGCGGCTGTTTAGAGTGACTGCTCTGAACACAGCTGCTTCCTGCTGCAGCTGGAGACGACCGACGACTGCTAGCATGGTGCAGATAAGCACCATCCCATCTCCTTCTCTACTCACATGGTGATCATGTCCCAGATTATCAGCCTGATATATCATCCTGCATGATCTAAGTAATCTATTGACCTATTGGCATTTAATGGAGAGAAACAAGCAGAAACATGCTATTCAACCATAACACTGGTAAAAGTATTAAAGTTCATTCTTGACCTATGAAATTATAACAGACATTAAAAGTCTGCCCACTTATACCACCAGTATTTCATTTATCAGCAGCAGTTCTGTAATAAAAATGTTTTTTTACAACATACACTGTCCACACAACACACAAACACATGCAGATACAAAACCTAGCTCTGCTGTCACCAACACCCACAAGTGTCTGTTCTAACCCACGATTTATTTATATACCATGACTTTCAGTATGTGGCAGCATCCAGGTACCTTCGGAAGTAAATGCCAAATATAATCAGCCTCATTTGTTTAAAGAGCTTGAAGACATAAATTATGGCAAACAACCGATCTGGTTACACAGGGAAAACCACAAGACATGTCCAGGAGAAATCACAGACCACCCCACACATTCTGCTATGCTTCTTGATGTTACACACTGATTGTAAACTTGATGTTATTCCTTTAACATTTTAGCATGTTTCTATTATTTTAAAAACTTATTAGATATCACAACATTTTTAAAAAGCTGAAATTCAAATAAGAACACTTTCTAAAATTCTAAAAGTCTTTTCAAAGCACACACTTCTAATTCAGAAGGAAAGGAGACTAAAACCTTTAAAACTATGTTTTTGCCCTACTGATAATTCCAGTCTCTTCACTATCAAAAGCATTTATAAGTGACTTCTCTGTGCCCCGAGCTGCCCGACAAGCAGCGCGTCATTCACAGCTTTACCATTAAAGGCCAGCTAGTGACAAAAGCTGAACATCTGGCAGCTAAAGAGCTGTTTCTTAGGAGAGTGCATACTGCATTATATTTGTTGGGTGTCCACAAACATGGCTCAGAATGAATGCCAATGTTGTGCTCTGTCTGCGGGATCTGTTTCATTTCAACTTTGTGCTTACAGCTTGTTTCTGCTGCCATCCAGCTGTCGACAAAAGAATTTAGTTGCTCCTGCTTTTATCTAATTCAGTGCTAAATCGCCATCTACTACTTCAACCAACACCATTTGCTGTCTAGTAAACATATTTCCCTTTTTCTCTCCAGCAATATTTGGCAAATTCCTTTGTTTCCACAAGATTCTAAACGATTTCATACCCTTGCATCATATATCACCACCCAGCCTCATGTTACAGTTCACTCACCAGTGCTTCTTGCTCTGTCTTCACCTGGAAGGTTCCCCACCAGCTCCAGCTGTGGGTTTGCTCAGTCAATCCCTTGTATCAAACAAGAAAAGGAGTTTAAAAAAGAAAAGTGAAAGAACACAGTGATATTAAGCCAGACCAGCTGGCTTAGAAAAAGGGGGACCCAGAACTGGGCTACGTTTGGATCTGAGCTCTCTCCGTACTGAGCAGAGGTGGTCTACGCCCATCAAACCCTGATGCTCGGACGCCGCCCCCTCCCTCCCATCAACACACACATCTCTCCTGGACACTCACAATTGTGCACACGCACCCTGTGACCTCCTGTGCCCGAGCAGGCTGAGTGCGTCTATGGAGGAGCCCGGTCACCTGCCTCTGTCAGTCGCAGTATATTTAGCTCAGGGGGTGTCAGTGATGCCTGTGTGTGTGTTTGAGCGTGTGTGTGTGTGTGTGTGTGTGTGGGAGAGAAAAATGTGCTGCTGACACTCAGGGCCTCTACAGGCCTCGGTGTAAGAGCCCAGGATTACTGCGCCAAAGACTGTCGGCTCTACACATTACACAGAAAGAGAGAGAGATCAAACCTGTGAGCATGTCCTAGATACCAGCACACCGAGCATCTGCTTGGCGGAGGATTAGCCTCAGCTGTCCACTGCTGTCGGCTCTGAGCAGAGGGAGGAAAGCAGACCAGCAGGCTTGGCCGACTCCAATGATCTATGAATCCACTGGGTCTCTGTGCAGAAACATGACTGAGTCACTGAAAAGCTCAAAAACAACATAGCAGGGCTGCTTCCTAAATCCGAGAGCAGTAAAACAATAGAGAGCTCTGACACACTCATGTTATGCTGACGACACTGTGTTGTATGGCCCAAACAGACCCGCCAGTCTTAACAAATCCAGCTTGGCATTTTGGGAAAGAGACTTTTTCAGTTTCATTGGGTTAGAAATGAGAGTGAGATGAAAAGACTGATCTTGTGACTGTATGTTAAATATGAAGCCAATTAGCATAGCTTAGCATTAGTATTAGAAACAGGAGCGAATAGCTAGCCTTAGTCTGTCTGAGAACTATGAAACCTGCAGACCTCTAAAGCTCACTAATTAACACAATATTTCTCTTTTGTTGTCCAAAAAGCACAAAAAATGAAATAATTAGGCAGTAATGATCCTGTTAGGGCTTGGTGCACCACCAAGAGGTGAACAACATGCTGCTAAACCTTTCTGAACAACAAGCTGTTTTCATGCCTCATGGCCCATCGTATTATTAGGTATCTTCAAGCGAGTGCGGTTGAGATCATCTTAATGGAAGCGTGAATAGTTGGTACTCAAGACCAAGGTGTGCTTGAAATGACTGTAGCTGTATGAAGGCCAAAATGTTATCACTATTCCAAACAGAAACAATAATCTAATGTTTATGTAAAAATGTTCAGATAAATAGCTACAGCATGTATTTTATTGTAAGCCAAAATCTAATGCACATTGGTCTCACAATAAATTTGCTCTTTATAGTGTTCTTTAACTCCTTACCTCCTCAGGTTTTGTTTCTTCTTCATGTACCTTGGACGCAAATAAAGTAGTGGCTGACATCCTTACAAGGGCATTACCGGGAACCTCCATGAGTTCCAGTCAGTGAAGATCTGGTGATGGAGAGAAAACGGCTGAAGTGTAAAGGATAATTCCACCTAAAAATAAATGTTGTGCATGAGTTCCCTCTTACAACACAGGGAGATGAAGACAAGGGCAGATTATTAGTGCTGAGGTCCAGTGTTCCTGTTTACCTGTTTTAATTTCCCCACCGTTGGTTTGCATCCATCCTTTACCATTCCTGAAAAATAAATATGCTGTTCATTCAGCCAGGCTCCTCCAAAGAGCTATTTAGACTCCTGTCTGCACCGTTTAGACGTGGAGGAAATGAGAAGGGGCAGAAAGGAGGGAAAGGCTAACAGTGAGTTTTTTGTACTTCACCCTGTCTTCAGGAAGAAAGCAAACATGGGACTGAGGCTGAATTATGGCAGATTTCAGATGTTCTGGCCCATTTAGAGCCTGAAACAAATGTTACGAAACATTACAACTTCTAAACACTAGCATTAGCACTGCCACTGTCAGCAGGTTAGCATGCTAACCTTCACACTTCACTTATCTATTTAAAACTCCCCAAAGTATTTTGGTGTCCAAAGCTCGCAGCTAAAACATTTGATTAAAAGTTGGGATCTTCTTGTTATTCTATGATATGGTATTTCTTAAACCTGGAGAAAGCTGCAACATTTATAATGGTAGCACTGGAAAAATGAGTTGTCTGATAGGAAATCTGACTAAATCATTTCAGATATTTCATCCAGTAACTGCACATTGTTTCTACTTTTTGTATTTCTGTACAGTATACTGTATGTAGACCTGAGATTCTATGGAAAGAGGGCCATAGCTCCCTGATGTCTCATTTGCATGTTAAAGAAACATTTAACAAAACTGCGTCCTGTGGGTGGACAGCCATGCATGTCCTGTGGTTTCAGGGTTTAGTCTTTGGGTTTTCCACTTCATTTAAATGACACTAGTGCATGTGCAGTATTTACAGGTATGTGTGGGTCTGTGGGTAATGTGTAAGGGTGAGCTTGTGTGCGCAGCCATGCTGTCTGTGCAGGCACATGGTGTAGGAGGTGTTGGAGAAACATAAACAAGCAATGACAGAGGCAGTATCCTCCCCCTGAAGAGAACCAGATGTGTGCAGAGAAAGATCATGAAAATATTATTACTGGAAGCACAGAGTCCTCAAACGTCCATCTTTGTCCACCTTCTGTGCAAACCGCACGTTTCACTTTTCCACAGGGTGAAAATACTGCTCTGTTGTACTTTATCAGAAAAATCACTCAAAGTTCAGTAGTGTGATTATGACATTTGCTGTTTTTCACACAAACAGCTATGATGCTGTTTGGTCGGGTTTACTGAGTGCTGGAGACGGTCCACTATGGTGTGGTCTGGGTGAAGCAGCGACGTCCAAGAGATAAAGTTACTGTGAAAGCCATGAGGGTGTGTAAACTAATCCATCCTCACCCAGCTGCCACGCATAGCCCACAGTCCACAGCATGTCTCGAGGCACTCCCTCCCCGGCTCTGTCTGCTCCCCTTGTACACCCCCCCCACCAAGAGTTTACCCATTCTGTTACTGATAACACTTTACCTCCTCCTATTTAGCAAGTACAAACAGAGATGGAGTAAATGCTTATTAACAAACTGTAATGTAAACTTAAAAGGCATTTTAAGTGTTTAATAATTTGTCAAAAGCAACTTCTCCTAGGTAGACACAACTTGGTTGATTAGGCACTGACATATACAAAGGGGCCGGCCCTAATTATTATTATAGATTCATCTATAATTGTGAAACATTTCTGAAACCCAAAATTTATTTAGTTTATTATCTCAGAAAGAAGAAAATATCCACATTAAAAAAGCTGGATTTATTTTTTTGGTAAGTGTTGCTTAGAAATATCTTCAACATTTAAACCAATATCAAAATTGATTTTTTTACATTTACTTGCATGTTTAGAGTAATAACATGCAATGAGTACAAGAATATGAAAAGAAAAAATTACTTCTATTATTTTTTTGTTTTGTGAACTTTTTGAGTGTTTCTGTCTTTGTGTGTCTCTGTTTGCATGAGGATAGATGGGGAGATGCAGGAAATGGATTAAGGGGAGACAAAAAACAAATACAAAATATCTTTAGAAACAAAAACTGTTGCTAATTAATTTCCTTCCATTCTAATAATTGATTAATCAACTAATAATGTCATCTTTATTACAATGTAAAACGTGAAAAATCAATAGAGTAAATAGAGAGAGAGAACTTATTCATATACACTTCAACACACTGATCAGCTGCTCAGAGTTCCAGTCATTTTACAGTGGTCGCACAGGTCATTCTCACGGGAAGGTGCAAAGGTCACGGCTCCCACCTGGACACTGGTGTCACGTGCCCTAGACACTTATCCAAACCACTAACATCTTTCTCAGCCATGATGATGTCAGCACTGTTTTAGTCGTTACTTTGTGTCCTGTTGGCAGAAATGATAACAGTTGGTCACTGCATTTTCACATCACCCAACCAAGCTCTAGCCAAACCTGTCAGCAAACAGGCCAGCAGCCTGACATCCATGTTGGCTTGTCTCAGTCAGGGTCAGAGGGGAAGTGTTGTCACATGGTCAGCATAGCTCGCATAATGACTGACAGGTGGACACGAGCTGAACTCTGACACTGGTTACCAGTAAGACACCTCGGAGCCGCCCACTGTGGAAACATAAGGCCACGTATATCTGGGACTAGCTCTGAACAAGCCAGTGGTGGAAGATGCACCTGGATTCAAGGGAATATAGTGACACCCACATGTGAAATCTGAATGAGGGGGATGTGTGGGGACCACTCATGTACTCCATGTGTACGTTTGTCCAGTACATTTTCAATATCATATACTTGTGTGCACGGATGTGATATATACTAAGCTTTTTTTCCCTTTAAGCTTTGTATTTCTGACATAGATTCAAAAGCCATTAAATACAGTGATAAAATTAGATTAGATTAGATTAGATTAGATTAGATTAGATTAGATTAGATTAGATTAGATTAGATTAGATTAGAAAACCTTTATTAGTCCCACAGGGGGGAAATTTCCATGTTGCAACAGCACACTATGATTCAGCAAAGTACAGAAAATATAAAAATATTATAAGAAACAAGGTAAAAAATTAAAAGATATTAAATACAAACCATAAAATTATAACACTCCAGGAACTATGCATAACATGTGCGTATAGTATATACAGATAAATTATAATCAAATAATGAAAATCAGTTAAAAAATCATATACACGTTTATATATAAAATACAGAGAAACCTTTTAAATATGCTACATATATAATAAATACTGTCAGCTTTCAAAAGGAAAAGTACAAATTATGCAGAAAAGCCATATTTCAAACTGTTGTATTATTACATATATATATTACTGTATATTATAGGGATGTTATTATGGTATGTATGGTAAAAAATGTAAATACCAAACCAAATGCTACAATACTACAAACATACAGTGATCAGAAATGAGACTGTTTAGATACGTTATTCATCACTGAAGTCATTTTTCTTGCACAAACTAACTTTCCGTGGTTGTTGGCTTCTAAAATTAATCATATCAAGGCTTGTAGAACACAAACGATTTGAGGATGCGACTTTTAGCTCTGGGTCATTGTGATGGACATTTCTCACTATGAGAAATAAAACAGCCAGTATTCAGCCCTAAAGTTAAAAACTATGCTCCATACAACCAACAACAGTTAAATGCAACCTAAATACAAAAGCAGAAGTAACAATAATCATTGATATATAATGCATAATAGCAAACCAGTCACAGGGGACACGTCTATGCATTGAGTACTTTAGATACTGATAGCTCATTTTCATAATAAGAAAATAAAATTTTGAACGTAGGACTTTTACTTGCATTAGTAGACTTGTATAGCTGGATATTGGTACTCTTACTCCTACAGTACTTCTTGCACCACAGACTGGGTTTAGCTCTGTTTTGCAGTGTAAATCTGACCTGCTGCTTTCACACAAATCAAACATTTGTATGTGATAAAACACTGATTTAGGTTTTGTCTTTGTGGAGTGGTGTTATAAAAAGTATGATTGCGTTAGTGAGTTTCTTGATGATGCAGTGCACGTGCTGGACATTCATTCAGTCTTTCTTACACTGAATGTACCAGTTATGGTTATTAGAAACATTAAACAGAACCTTCAAAACCAAAGGTACTCCAGTGGAGGAGCATCAGCGAATGTAGCCTCATCCCATTAGCCCATCTAAATCTGGAGCCTAAGCTAAACTATGCTATTACCCCTAACCGGAGAGCAATCAGACCCCGGCGAGGGCCGCCAGACCGGCTGTATTTATAGAAGCCTCATCAACACCAGATGATTACCAGCAACACAAAAGAGTGTGTGTTTGTGTGTGAGTGTGGTTGCAGAGTCATATAGTGGAAACCACAGGGGGGCGACTTTGAGGTTGTAACTGGGGAGGAACTGGGTTGGTTTATTTCTGGAGCATGTGTTGCTCTGGTCCAGAGAGAAACAGCTGAGCATGTGCCAGTGCAAGGGCAAGTCATGATGTCTGCCCTGACAGTAACAATCAGACACAGACTCTGACCATCTACTTCAGTGCCGACCTTCACAGACAAGACGAGACAGGGTTTCTCAGCCTTTTATTACTGCGTCACTTTCATTTGTCTCCCTCAAAAACTTCAAACCTCCACTACACAAGAGAAAACCACTGAGTAACTCTACTCTGTCATTGTGTGACTGGCTCAAGTTATTACCAAAGCAAACTGGGTTAGCAAACCACAGCAGCAGAGAGGGGCTGGGACTGCTGAAAAGTAAAGCAGACCATGTTTTCATCTAACCAGCTTGAGACCAGAGGCCTTCTTCTAAATCAGTATGTACAGGTCTGTGGGGAGCCAAATAACAGGGCGCTCAGGGGAACCGCCTAAAGGCTCCTGTGGTCTCTGTCTGCATCTCTGCTGAGTGCCGTGCACATTAACACAAACATCACGAGATTTCTCAGTGTTGTCCTGATGTATAGTTAGGATTTGACTCCCATGTGAAAACTCTCTTTTGTCATTTGTTATTGTTAGTACAACACCACTTATTAATTAGATGTACAGCTGATCTTCATCAACCTTGACAAGAATTTGAACTAAACTACAATACATTACCAGAGACACATCCCCTCTGATTTGTGTGTGTATAAGTTTTAGGCTAGAGCCTCACAAGAACAGTGTGTACTGACACAGATTTTCCAATCAGCTGTTCAGTGTCACCCACTCTTCTTCTTCTTCTTTCGGCTGTTCCAGTTAGGGGTCGCCACAGCGAATCATCTGTTTCCACCTAACTATCCTGGCATCCTCTAGTCACCCACATGAGGCTTTAAGTGGAGTTGTGAATAACTGACTCCCTCTGGTGGTCAGCTCGGGTACAGCAGGAAGGCTCTGGGAAGACAACTTGAAAACGTCAGAGCTGGAGAGTAACTAAGTACATTTACTAAAGTACTGTACTTGAGTAGTTTTGGCATGTCTGTACTTAACTTGACAATTTAAATTTTCCACTACTTCACGCTTGAACTTCACTGCATTTCTGAGGCAAATCTTAACTTTTAACTGAACTGCCTGTATTTGAAAACCTCACTTTCTTTTCACAAACAGATGAATAAAACAGTGCAATAGTAAAACAATCATAAGACTTTACTGATCGCTGGTGGGAAATTCATTATCTACCCAGAATATATAAATACTTCACATTATAAGTATCTAAAGTAGTCCACATCAGCTCCACCTTTACCCGCTGCAATATTAAAGTAATGAACACTGATACATGAAGTTATCTAAATATATCATAAACTTTAATGCTAAATGTTCCAACTAATTTTGGAACTTAAAGTATATTTTAGGTTCATTTTTGTAGCTCTACCTGTTAGCATCAGGGATGGGTCACTGAACAGGCCTACTGAGTCTTGGTCCAGGTCCAAGATCAGCACCTCTCCATGTGACTGCTAGCGTTTCCTTTTGTAAAGTTAATCAAAAATGACTCCAAAGAGAAAAAAAAAAAAAGACAGAGGTACAAAAAGATAAAGAGATGCAAAGCAACCACACGAACACACACAATTACCAGACGTGCTGCAAAACAACCCGAAAGAAACAAAAAAAATTACCATAGAGGCAAAACCAACACAAAGCGATGTACAGTGACCTCAAAGGGAAGCTGAACTACAAATAAATGCAAAACAACAGATGCAAAATGAGCAGAGACGTACAAAAGAATCATGCTGTTGTAATGTACAGTCTGTTATGTTACAGGAGCATTAGAGGGTTATATTAAATTAAAAATCTTAAAGCATAAAACACACATTTGCTGGAAAACCACTTTATTTTGTATAAAATAAATAGACACTCATCTAGCTGCATCACTCACACTGTGTAAAACACTACAGTTAAAATGATCATCTACAGAATGAATTGTGCGTTTTGTCTTAAAGAATTTGCAGCCACAGATTGACAGACTCTCTTCAGGAACGATCAGTAAACCTGCCCATGTATTCGTCCTCTTTTCCCAAATGGCCCCTGTGATGCGAATGTAATAAACTCGACTAACACATCAAATTCATCAAAGCCTAAACTGGTCTGATACAGATGAATTCACACCATGTTCCATTAAGACACAAACATCTAAGGCTGGAGCAAATTTGAATTTTTTTATATAATGACTCCAGTATAAACCACAGGGCCAACGAGCAGCTCCACTTCAGACCATCGAGAGGAAGCCGTGTGTCCATGTTGACCCGTATTCTCTTTCGTGCACACATCAGATGTTCAGTCACCCAGTTTCGTACAATATGGACGACCAATAGAAGGGAAAAGTCCTGAGCATCATTAAAACCTCTCCTCAGGAGTCTGCAGTCATGATGGCAAGGAACTCCTCCTGATTTACTGGGAGGAAGAGAGAAGCTCAGTCAGGGAACAATGTCAAGGAATTTCCACTGGTAGAAAGTTTGTGAGATAAATGACTAATGATTACTTTCATTATCAATTAATATACTGATTATTTTCCTGAATAGTCTGTTATAAAAGGTAGAAAATAGTGAAATGCCTTTTGCAGGTTCCTAAACCACAGGGTGACACCTTCAAATATCATTTTACTGACTACTCAAAGATTCAGTTTGCCATCACTCAGCAAACACTCACATTTGAGAAGCTTGAACGAGGACTCACGCGATGAATCAGTGTCAAAATAGTGGCTGAATAATTTTCAGTCCATCTTCTAGTCGATTAATCGCTAATTGTTTCAGCTGAGGTCATTTTAGTTCAGTAGTGTGTTGTCCTGCTTGCAAATGAATTACAAGCACATGCAGTGGTGGCAAAACAAATCTAAGACATGGTTTATGTCTCACAGCCTTGTACTCGTCCACCCCCTTATTGGTCAAAATTCTAAGTTAAGAATTTCTGCACTAGGCTTATTGTAAACAATTGTCATAGACCCAGGGTGTTGTTCAGCACCATAAATGTGGTCTTATATCCATCTACTGCTGCTTGGACAGATGTGTCCTCTGCTACTTGTAATGAGTTTCTTCAATTTTTTGTGGATAAAATTGTTAAGATCAGATCCCAGATTGATGATTCTGTTCTGGATCCTTCTGTTGCTCCTATATGCTCAGCTGTTTT